ATTATTATTGTGTGTACTATTATTCTATTTAAATGCTGATTGTGGCTGGAATTACCACGTAAGATTTAATACATTCATTATTAAATACATTAAAATTTGCAATTATTCTAAGGAAGTCATTTCAGAATTGTCCGAGGGCCCCCGAGATTTGCGCCAGGTATGCGCTGGGTGTGTGGTACGGTGTTTGTGTCGAACCGTGATTAGATGTTTTGGTACAAGGACGTGGAAAGGATTGAAATATGATTATTCGCGTAAAACAACCATTGATAACATACAATGCTGTAATAAAATAAAATATTTTACGTATAGGATTTGTCTACTGTGGCATGGTAAAATTTGCATTTTTCGAAATACCCTATACGAGTAATTATCTCAGCCATCCACCCATCCGCTTCAGTAATGTCCCGTGGGACTTCTCATTTTATTTTTTACCGAGAAATCGCTAAACGAATTAAAAAATAAAAATAAAAGAATATTGAATTTTAACAGTTAAAATAATAAAAATGAAAAATAATATCTCCCCTTTAAAATGTATACCGATTTCATTATAAACGTCCGTTTGAACTAGAACTTATACGGAAGTCTTAAATAAGTCGATAAGTTCTTGGACTCTGTAGTTATACGCTACATACAGTATAGACATAAGGAGACTAGAAGCATTGGACATTTGGACATTGCGAAGAATGATGAAGATAAGGTGGACGGAAAGCAAACCTAATGTAGAAGTGTTATTAATAATAATTTAATAATGGTACAAGACCCCAGAAAGATGATCAAAATGATTGAAACAAGAAAAACGAAATTTATTGGACGCATATTTTACGGCACAGTGGATTTATTTTCGACATTATGGAGGGAAAAATAAAGTGACAATTTTGGAGTGGATGACGGAGAGGCGCATTCATATAGATAACTCGAGGAAGGCATTCCTCAAATAAATTATAAGAGTCACAGGATTTAGTAACTATTACAAAAGATAAATAAAAAATATGTATACAACTTAAAAATATTGAGCGGAACAAAAGTTGTTGCATTTGTCGGATCCCCGTGGCACGTTCTGTACATCGGTATTCAGTATACTACGCGTGTTACAATTCACAAAAATAAAATCGTTATCCGTGATATTAAATGTATATTGAACTATACGAACGAATCGAATGGTATCTCGTATAATGTTATGTTACAATACCGCAATCCGCACGATGTATTCAAAATTGAATTTACCGCAAATTAACAGGTTTATTACGAATTTACGAAATTAATACGGATGGTGTTTGATTGGAATTTTCCCCTCGTGTTTTTAAATGCCCGTCGAGCGGCCGACCGACCGAAGCCATTAATGCCACTGAAAAGTACATTGTATATTATTTTATACGTTATATACAGTTTTCTACGCCACTGCTGCCCCTTGTGACGCATTTAGGCATCAATTTAAACACGGCCGTGTATATGCCACATACCTATACCTAGTACGACTATAGCCGCGAAAAATGCAATAACTTTTGTTCAATCTGTTATTGAGCTTTTCTCTTTTGTAATAACCACTAGAGCCTTCGCTACGATTTTTCAATATATATATTTTAAAACTAAAAGTAAAAATTAATACCATATTCATTTTACAAAATCGCAAGATAGTGATTTTTATAAATGTATTTTGAAACACAATTTAGGCGCTAGAAATGTTGAGTCATATGAACCGTAATTGTTAAATGTTCCAACAATAATTGTTCGTAAACTTCAAACAATTGTGGATAACTAACTAACTTATCATTCAACGACATTTTTAGCTCCTAACATTTTTTATCAAAATAAATGTATAAAATGGCCATCTAGGATTATGTAAAAATTTTAATTTGTATTTTTAGTTCACAATAGAATGTAAAATAGAAGAATCAGAGAGCGGGGCTCTAGTTAATAAAACACAAAAAAAATTAAATAAATATACTAAAAAAAAAAAAATATTGAACAGAACAAAGAGGTAGTATTATTGCATCGTTTGTTAGATCTCCATGGTACACCCTGTATAAACGAAGTTATTAAACCGGAGGCCGCAGAGTGGCCGGTAAACTATGTAATCTGTATATATGGCCTGCACTCGAAGAACATCGAATTGAGTCGAATTTTCAAAGGAAACTCTGTAATAGTTGCAAACCAAAACGTTATAATAATATTTTACGTCGACTACGGATTTTGATCGATAACTATAATAATAATAATAATAATAATAATAACGTAACGAAATTTGTGGTTTTTCAAAACCAAAACTGGCGCCGGCTGCGATGATGGAAATGATAATGTACGGCGATTTGTAAAATACCTACCGCCAAACATCGGTCGCCCCAGACGGCCGCGGGATATTTGCGATTTTGTGTTTTGCAACGTTGCAATTTTTCAACAGCGTAATGCTTTTCAATCAGTTTACCCTGCAAAAACTCAATGCAATTCCAAAAATATAATATATTCATTTCAGTATTCGCGTGTTTGTATTTCGTTGTAACATTTCCCATGCAACATTATGTCTCGTAAATAATATTGTACACACTATAGGTATAAGTGTAAAAAAAAAAAACCGTAAACGTATAGCCCATAAGATTATACGAATGATAATGCCACTGCAGTGGAACTGTGAACATTCCAGATTCTTTTAGCTTTTGTGTTTGATTGTAGTAGTTTTTGGCAATTGTGAGTATGAGTGAGGTGTTTCTCTAAGTGGTACGGTGTGTATTTCAATCGTGTTTTGCTACACCTTAATTTTTTTGGACACGTATAGTTGCCACTGTTATTAGACACAAACCCATTTCATGTCTTGGTAGGTATACCTATTAGTGTTTAATAATATATTATTATTTTTATAATATCAGTTATTTTCTTATTTGGCAGTGCCGCTGCAGCCCATACAGTATAGTACGTACGTATTTTTCACATTAAAACCTTACAGGGCAACACATACTTACACATATATTTTGTCGTCTCCGTCTAACAAACGCACGACATTGTACATTTGCATTCATCAGAACAGATTTTGAATTGTTTGGTTTGAATTTTCAAATGAATAATTGATTTATTATCAAACGTAAATGGAAGAATATTACATCTGTAATCTTCTTGTGATCTTGATTTTTTTTCGTTATTTTCATTTTCAAGTGAGATACTAATGTGTGAAATATCAAAACTCTCACGTTTGTGTTTACGAATTTAGTGGTATTCTCAATTCGTCAAAGGCGGAAAAATTAAATTATTATCATTATCAGCGGTAAATTATTGAAAATGAAACATATGACAACAATTTTTTTTTAAATGAAAAATAAACCTTACAAATAATAATATGACATGATCGTGTAATAATTTACCAAAAAGTATTATTAGTTTAATATATTTAATTACATCGTAAACAAATAAATATTATGATGTTTTTAGGTACAAAATTAATATTGCTCTTTATTTGAATAATATCAAATCGTTATAATTAGGATAGAGGACTTCTAGCAATCGCATATTCATTTTTCGAAGTCGTAAAAAAAGGCCAGGTTGAAAGAAATTTGTTTCATGTAACAACAAAGCCAAATCTATAATATTGTGTTGCATATTTTTGTTTTTCGAAACATTTGTAGACTTTTTAATACTTTTTTGGTGCTTTTTCGGGCTTTTTCTCTCAACTTCTTAAGAATAACATTTATCGAAAAGATAATCATAAATTAATGTATTAAAAATGTTATTTTTTTAGTTTTAGTAAAAGGAATGTTAAATTAAATAAATTCAGAAATCAATCAATGTGATGTAGTAATGTCTACTTGCTTATTATTCAACTAAAATGCTATTTTATGTACTGTTGTAAGATTTGTATTTAGTGCTCCGATAATTTAAACAAAAATTATTCTTTTAAGAGGATCTGCGACGGTTTTCCAAACTGTCTCCAATTCTCAAACCACTATCAAAATTAAAAATCAATCAAACAAAATGTTTGGAGTTTGACTTTTAGGTCTAAATTGGCTCAAATATACACTGCCGTTAACCCCCTTGATAGTAAATATCTATATTACGATATGTTTTAATTTTTTATAAAACGAATGGTTCAATATTTATTCGTATTGTATGTATACAGTATAATAATACATTTAACGACCGCCAAACAACATGCCAAATTTGTGCTCAACAAAACACATTGTGTACGGATAGTTTTAATATTAGAGCGAATATTATCAAACCTACAGGGAAGTACAATAACAATAACATATTATATGACCCTGGGGGGGGGGTCTTAACCGCCAAAAATCCCACTTGTATATGCCATTGACATGTTTTTTACAACTGGAAATATTATAATTTTTTTTAGTCGACTACGTATTATACACTACACGGACGACGCAGACGGACACTGCCACTGCTGCTGGCAGTTTTGTTCACGAATATTTTTTAATATTTTCGTCAGGTACGGCTTTACAAAGTATTCCGTTAGGCGGGTGTATAAGCATACGACTGAACTTGAAAATTCAATTAAACCTTATCAAAATAAGTTATCTATATACTATACGAGTATAATATTCATTTCTGTAATGTAATAATTCAGATTGAGATTTTTTTTTTCTCTTCGTGATAGCACAATAATGTTCGCTTTCAAGTTTAATTACTACACCACCGCGGTGATTCAACTCACTCGCCAGCCGTTCANTACATAGAATATTTTCTAAATTAACAGCCGATTCGTTGATAATAATAATACGACACAAACAAATGAATCAAATTTTTATTGGCCGACATTTAGGAAAAATATAAACAGGTGCGTCGGTTGCAGGGTTTAAAAATGTCTTACGCATTTACATTTGCTATTACAATATACCTATACAATATTGATTTTTAATTATTTTAGAATCATTCAGACCAAACTTCTCAGACGAGGGGTCAGAGTTTCTAGCTCTGATAACATTCGTATACAAATAACAATTAGCCTTTCCGAAGAGATCGAATGACCACTAATTATTTTACAAAGGAAAAATCTTTAAGGATATTGGGCTGTTTCCGGTGGTACTGCAATACCGGATCAACCCGTGGCGGAGTAGGAGCAAGCTCNCATGTGGCACTTCACGTGGAAGTGTATCAGATGTTAAGCTGATAAGAACAGATACTACACATTTGATCTTAGCCGATAGGCCGAGAAGCGATACCATCCGGTTCACAGCTCGTGATACTTATGCTAAAATCTGCAACATTCACGGATGTAGTCCGATTTCTATCGATGCCCGTAATTCGAATTTTTCAAAAACAGCATACCCAAATACGTGCACAATCCTGTTCATAAAAATGAGATTTAAACGTTTTAATCCGTATTAACTTTGTTAAAATGCTCGTCGTAATCGTGAAACAGTAAACATTTTACCCTGCCAAACGAAAAACACAATAAGCGCCACCTACCGCCCAAAAAAAACAAGTGCGTAACAATAACGTAGTTGTCGACAGAATAAAATGTTATATTATTACGTTGACATCACACTTTTTTTTCTATTATTAATGTATTTTGGCCTATACATTTTTATAAAAAATATTTCTGAAGACAATTTATTATTAAAATCGTTTGGCCGTTAATATTATATTTTATAATGACAACCTTATGAAAAAAATAAATATAAATTCTACTTAACCATTAAATAATATACCCATGTCCGTTTTTTAAGCAAATATATTTTATTTACCTTAAAATTATAATATAAAAATTGCATGTAGTGGTAACCTTCGGTATTGTAACATATACCGTATTACAGTATCACCCGTTTTTTATTCTGTCGTTATATTTTTCATTATTTCGTAATATTTTGTGTAAAACCTATTGTTCACTCCTTCGAAAAGACATAATATTATTATGAATGTTTTTTTTTATTATTTCTTTAATATCCTTTCAAGTGCCTTTATAGTATTTCAGACCTATATAAATTTTTTAGCGTGTAACACATATATGTGTAGGCACTCGTCAAAAAACTTTAAACTTATATTATTACTTTTTCAGTTGCACTAGATATTTTTAAAATATATAAATTACATGCAGTATTATATTGTGTAGGCACTTATATATATAAGTCCTATATGTAATTTATTGTTCCAGCTTCAACAAAAATGACATCTTCGCGTTTTTCTTGTTTCTTTTTTTTTGTTTATTAGGTACTATTCTACAATATAAATATGACGGTTTTTCATGAGCTATTATTTGTTTTGCTGAACTGAATTTATCATTTAACTATAATATGTTTAATTTCTACTCAATACTACAATGAATATCCTTTTACTATAATGTTTTGTGTGGTGTGGTTTTTTAGGCGTTTTGGGCTGGATAAATGCATACAAATTTTGTTACCATAAAAACATTAAAGAATGAAAATGAACGTTGAAATTGAGGTAAAAAAAACGTCTAAGTAATATATGTATACATACATACATACATACATTCATTAGGTACTATATTAAACAAACTTATATTCCGTGTTTAAATACGTTTTTATATAAGATAATTATGCGTGAACTTTTTTTTTTAAAGAAAAAAGAATAACGAAATCAAATGTCTCTACGAGGCAATAGAGTTATAAATGCCCAGGAAATTGTCACCCCGACATTGTCCGAACAGTTTAAAACTAGTATTATTATTTTACAACTAATTTGCAAATATTTGCCGCCAATTTTGAATGGTAACAGAATAAATTAGAGTTCTCAATTTCATTTATTATCGAGTATGAAATGCCTAAAAGTTGTCCTAATATTTTTCAAAATAATTCTATATTATGAATACATAAAAAACTATTGCTGGTGTAAATGCTTAACTGACGGTATATACTTGTCGAATTTTTGGAATCTCTGGAAAAAAATATATATGGTATATAAAATAAATATACTATTAAAATGTCTATGAAACTATGTTAATTGTCTAGGCATACAAGATACCCGTACAAAGTTAATAGATAAACGAATAACGACAGATAATATTTGTACACCGTTCAGTTCATAAAATAGAAATACTAATAATCATCATGATATTATAACATTATATAATACTAAGTGGTGACCATCACAACAATTCGTTTTAATAAAATCGCGTCCCTATTAGCTGTTGCCGAGGCAATTTCCATGCCTTAATAAGCTTCGAGCTTTCAGTTTTATACCTTTTAAAACAAAATGGGTAACGTAATTAAAAATAATTTACTACATTTTTTAAATATTTAGTATATTATTTATACATAATATTAATGTGTGCATAATATATATAAAATATAGGATAAGTATATCAAAATTGGCAAGATATTAATGGAAATAAAATCGATCTCTTGTAATTTTTGGATTGGAGTTATATTTATAGTAGAAAGCATAATTTACAGTGTGAAGTTGCACCAGTTAGGTTTTGGCACCCCGAAATTTTTTTTAGTCCGTGCCGCCGTAAAAAATGCATTACAAATTTTGCTACCGATGTTGCAAATTATTCAAAATTGATTACAAATTAATGATACTAATTCGGAGCTGATCGGACAAAGACGGAGGACAACTTCACGTACATGAGTCATATAAACCATGTTTTGAGTAATACAACAGGTCGTGCGAACAAACATTTTTTATTTATATGAAAATTAAAACTGATTGTAATTTTAACAATTGTTAAGAATTTTTAATTGTCAATGTTAACAGTTTGTAAAAAATCACGAGCAGGACTCTTAAATCTAAAAATCTAGTCGTACTAATCTCCGAGCCGAACATTTGTTGTTCAAACTTAAATCAAAATAAATAACTAAATTTCACTTTTCACGTTTAAACTAATTTCCTACACATTTGGTATAGTTTATATTGATATGCATATTCAAATTTTATTTTTATTTTTTATATACATTTTTAATATAAATTAGGTGAATGAATAACTAAAATGATTTAATCTCAAAATACATGTTTGACCTGTTCGTCGGGCGTGTAAAATATATTATACTTATATGTTTAAACGAAAATACTTTTTATTTAAATTATATAAATTCAAATTAGAAGGTTTCCCATAGTGGAAAAGTAGAAGTTCGTGTGCTTGTATTTACATGTTTACATTTTATCTAGGTACCTTATTCTTTTTTACAGCAAATTCCGCAAATAAACGTTTTATTATTCAAACCTCAAAGCGCATTTGAATTGAATATAAAATCTTAGGGAAAGTCATTCAGCTCATCATGCAGTGCCTATATAGGTTATATACTTTTATACTTTTTTGCACTTTACATCTTATAATACATTATTCCTGAGCAAAATTTTAATGTAAATTAAATTGTNTCACACAGACACAGTAGTAGCTTTGGTTCGTATCCTATTAGGGGGAAAGGGCGATTTCATATAGTCCCCTTGTCTTCAGTACTTAACAAAAACAATGAGTGTATTATTAATTGAAAGGACGTGAATACATAATAATACCTGGTTTTATTGAGTTCATATTATTACCAAACCTAACCTCAGGTTTTTACATTTAAAATAATTTGAAAAAAATATTCTGGGTACGAATGGAGTACCATCTTGTAGTGTCCGAGATTTTTTTCTGGTTCACTATGCGCAGTCTTAGTTAAAATTCAAATTTTCACCATAAAAAAGTTGAATTTACACTGTGTAACGTTGGTTTTATTTTGTTGATTTCACCTAACTTCTAGATACTAAAAATATTATTCAAGTTTGAAAAACTCAAAAGTATCGGATTTTATAACAACAATAATATTTAAATTCTGATAAAATATAGCAAGGTAGCAAGATAAAATAATATAGTATTGGTTTTACTATATGATATGAGCTTTTTAGTTTTAATTTTTTTCCATCTGTAAACAAATGTCTAAAAATCTTGTTCTGATCAACAACTTCAAAGATGTTTTTTGGTAGAAAATATTGTTGAATTAAGTTTCTTATTATATTCGTAGTTTTCTTAATAATTAGAAAGAAAAAAACATAGAAAAAACAAAATAATTATCGTAGAAATTTGATATTTTAACCGAATACTTGTTTTAGCCCTTTTTGGGGCAGTAAAGTAATTTTAAATTTAATTTTATTAAAATATCATTAACCGAACTTCGCTCAGAACCGTTATTCATTAGTAATGATGTGTTATTGCGCATACAGATAGTGTTGTATATAGGTATCTTAATTTCCCTACTCGTCATCTACAACAATATCCTACCTATGAACAGTATCCTGAATTAATACAGCCGAGGTACCTTTGAAAATTAAAAATTAACGTTCCACAGCGCAAGTTCTCCTTTATTGTGGAGAAATTTTGGTTTTTACCCAAGTATAACTGAACCCGAGTAGTTTTTGGCCTTTTACCCGCCTAAAGCAATGTTCTCGATCTTATTATTTATAATGCGTATAATGTATATGCGTACATATATCCGATATCGGTGTACCCAAATCCAAATACTAATTTGTACTACACTATCGCGGTTCGGATGAAATTCATCGTGTTCAGTCTTATTTTCGGAGAGTATAGGTGTATACCTATCTTACTTTTTCGCTCGACACTCAAATAATACAATTATTATAATCACACGTTATAATATATGCAGCTATAGTGTATACACTGTGTGTAATATTATTCCTATACTTAGTCGGACGTCATTTAATAATCTCATATTTGCCCATACGGTATAATATAATACGTATTATCGCGTAGAAATCTTTCGCTATAATATACAGTCAATCATTTTTTATCGTTAATTCCGAAAAAGGAATGTGTATTATATTCGGGGGGCATACCTGTCCGTTTCAGAGCTGCACCGTGTTTTATAATAAATATATGTATAGTCTGCGTGTGTATATAATTTTCACGAGTTACGGTTTATTAGGCCACCGAGAAACCAGTTTCGCGCCGAGAATTCACGTGAAGATTAGAAATTAATTTTTAAACAACTGTAAGTATCAGCTATGCGATATGACGATTGTTGTCGTTCATCCCACATCGCATAGGTATAGATAGGTACTTCTGATACTTGACCGGAACGTTTTCATTTTTCATTTAAAATTAATTACTCTGAGCGCCGGGGCGGCCGTGCTGCATACAGTATTGTAATATTATGCTATTTCGTGTATACGCACGCGCGTTTATAGATACACGTTTTCATTATCTGATTAAAAAACAATGTTTACTTTAAAAAAAGCGCTGACAAGGTATTACCACCGCGCTGCGAGGACACACTCTATGGTCATTCGGTCCCGATTTTTTTGTTTAGGTCCCCGTACCTGAAATTGTTTTCTATCTACGGAAACTACGTTAAACAATATTGTGCGCAGGTATGAAAAAAACAAATCAATGGATATTTATTGGATAATATTTATTTAATATTTATTGGATAATTATTCAAAATAGATTTGCTCATTGTAATTATTACTGTTGTCGATTGAAGAATTTCATACTTCGATAGTCGCAGTTGCACGGGAGAGTCGTTTTATAATATAAAATATACTCGTACACGTAAATCCAACAATACACAATCGCGAATAAATCGTTTAAATTGGATATTTCGTATTATATACCTATATATTATATTGCATTTTCCGTATAAACGAACAATATTTTCGAACGTGGGTTTTAATGTTTGTGTACGGTTGACTTCCCCGCGTTCGGGCAATATGTCATTTCGATGTTGTCGACGGTTTTGTAACACTGTTGCCCTGCCGCCGTGTTAAGTTTACGAACAAACAAACACAATTATTTTATTATTAATTGTCGGTTCGTGATTTACGCGTTTAAAAACGTATATGACAAGTGGGTAATAGGTATATATAATAATAATATAAAGAAAAGAAAAAAAAAGCCGACTATTTATATATATTCACCTATACGTTCGTGTGTATAAGTTATTATTGTATCTAGGAAACGCGCGTAACATTTTATATATATATATAAAAAAAAAAAAAAAACCTATAACTCCATATAATATAAGACGTTATGTGTTGGTGTTACGTGTACCCGTCTATACGCACATACACGAAGGGGGTATACGTGTTTATAAGAGGCGCATTACGGTCATAAATACAAATTTCGTTCCACGCGTTTTCCCATCGCCCGAAAAATATATTACGTACGAGAAAGAAAAACATTTCAATTATGTTAACAGTGTTTTATAAAGGTAGACGTAATATATACGCACACGACATAATAGTAATATATCGTAATCTTATAACTATATGTATTATGTGATCATTATTATTATACAGGACGGATATAGACGGTGGTGTTGTACTTACACACATGTCGTGTTGAAAATCAATGACGTTGGTAAAATATTCGAATAAAAATAGTATTGAAATACAAGAATATTCCGATATTATTCTAGTATTCCAGTATTATATTATATTATACGTATGTTTTAAATACTTCTACGATAATACATTACTCAGTATTGTATTTCACGGGTTTTTTCTTCGATTTAAAAGTATTTGAAATTGAAATCGTGTATCTATATTTATTTCAAACACTTTTATTGAATTGAAATGCATCACATTAGGTACACGTTGGAAGTTAAATGGATTCAAAACTTTAACTTTTACTGGTATTGATAAAAAAAAAAAATAAAAACAATAATCGAATATTAACGACAGATATAATATACAAAAAATGTATAAATATATTTTTCAAAAGTGCTTATGATTTTACTTACTCAAATATTTTTGTATGTATTCTAAATACTTTTCAAAATATAGTCAGTATATTTACAGATAAATCGTATCGCGAACGATTTTTGTAAGTGAAGGTACACACTACACACAATATAAAACTTTCAAAAAATTCCTTTCAAATTCCGTTTTGAATAACAGTCACTGCCAATGAAAAAAAACCCCTGAGGGGCACAAAGTAATATAATAATAATGCAAAATATCATGCAAAATTGAAAACCAAACAACAGCGTGCTCTAGTGGTGTATATTAGTATATGTACAATATGATATGTGGTTAACATACCTAATCACCGCCAATAAATAAGAAAAATACTTTTATAAGTGGTTACTTTTACTAACCAATGCTTTACAAGTGTCATGAAATAAGTGGTCGATAAGTTAACCACCGTCTCTCAAAGAGGGAAATTTTAAAGAACGTTCCCGGGAACGGGAAAATGTTGGGAATGTTATAATTTATAATTTTTTGGTTCCAAATTTATTTAAATAATTGAACATCTTAAAATTATTTAAAGAGAAACCGTTTGCTTGTTTGTTCGTTTCTATGCGTGTCTCCGTTATCAGGTTCCCGGTCTCGTTCTCTGGAAACGGAAACAACTTTTTAACACTCATATAATAATTTATATTATAACTATAATATCGGTCTTTTGTGACTTAAACGTGTAACATAATAAACTTATACTGGATGGAGAATTATACAGGGAATTTTATGAACATAATTATTTCTGTTGCTGGTCTTGCCGTTTTGATTATTCTCCATTCAACTATAATGGCATTACCATGCTATTTATTTATTATATACTTATTTAAAGGTTTAATGATTTCACTAATCGGTGAACGGTCCTGCCAATGTAAATAATTACGTCAGTTTTAATGATAATACTTGTATGGTTGAGTGTTTTATAGATGTAGATTTTTTATTCCAAAGCATATGTGTTCATTTTATATGGACAATGAGAAAGTGAGGTACCCTATAAAAGAATTTTATTGTTCGATACGATCTCCGTTTTCCAACCGCACCTCATATACATTTTTACTTCTTTTTGATTGGATAATGAGGTGTATGTATGTAATATTATTTCGCAAACAAGGATCGAAAGCGGTTAAATTTTTTTTTCTTAAAACTAATAAATATCAAAATCAGTACTTATCGTCGAAATTCTAAAAATAATAATAATAAAAAAAAACTGCAAGTATGCAGTTTCCTGATTAATTTGTAACGAACTTTTATTGTCTAAATAAGTATAGTATATTTTGAAATATAATAAAGGAAATAAATGTGTAATTTTTTTATTTCTTTGTTTTTTTTATTTTTAGGTCCCACCATTCGAAAATTCTGACTACGACATTATATCCCGTAGAGTGTGATTCATTTCTGATGTACTTTGTATAGGCCAAATATTGTTTTTGCCCGGGCGAAACAGTTTCTCTGTAAATATTATTCTTTATTTGACACAATAATTACGATAACGTCGATAAAGACACGGAACTACTTGTAAATGTATTTTAAAATATATTCTTATGTTGGTATAAACATAATAATAATAAAAAAAATACTGCAAGTATCAATATCAAAACCATAGTTAATAATTTGAAGCCAGATCATTTCTTGAAAATCAAGATTATTTTATTTTTCATTCCAATGTTTTTTGTTAATCTTGAATAGGGCGCAAGTTCGATTTAGATTAAAACATTCGCAGCAAACGAATTGCGTCCCAACGTAAAAAACATTATTTTCATTACCACTTTAGACTGCAGACTTATTAGATCTGTCAACAGCAACTTATTACTATTGGTAGGTTAAAAATATTGATTTTGGCCGTTTTTACATAATTAAAAGTTGAAATCATTTCGCATTAGACTATTTCTCAATTTTTGTCTATTAATTAATTTAACAGAATACTTAAATATGAGTACGATCATTTGTATGTACTATATTATAATGTTGTTTTTATCATTCTGTTCAATATAATATATGCATTTATAGAGTGTGTGTTTTTTATGTGTGTCTTTTTAAAGGTAACATGAAATATTTCAGTCCAATGAACTCAGATTGATATAGGGTTTTGTGGAGGATATAGAGAATACCTACATAAACAGTTTTTGATGATTTTTCTCATTTTTACATCTTTCAGTATTCGCATGCGTAATACACCTTGATTTTTTTTTTAATGGCAACAGGTGTTTTCAATACCAAATTTGGATAGACTGAATTTTTTTGTCATTTTGACAATGGCTCTAACAAAAAAAATTATTTTTAAATCCATCTACACAAAAATTTCAATTTTTCCACTTAAAAACATCAATGTTTTTTTATTAATATAATTTTAAACCACGCAAACGCGATCGAATACCACAAATAACATTATAATACGACTAAACAGACAACACATTTACTAAAGTATAATCTATACAAAATAATAATTTGTATAAAACGCGCGATACTGTAATACGGTATATGTTACAATATCGAAAATTACCGCAACACGAAATTTGTATATTATAATTTTAAGGTAAATAAAATATATTTGCTTAAAAAACGGACATGGGTATATTATTTAATGGTTAAGTAGAATTTATATTTATTTTTTTCATAAGGTTGTCATTATAAAATATAATATTAACGGCCAAACGGTTTTAATAATAAATTGTCTTCAGAAATATTTTTTATAAAAATGTATAGGCCAAAATACATTAATAATAGAAAAAAAAGTGTGATGTCAACGTAATAATATAACATTTTATTCTGTCGACAACTACGTTATTGTTACGCACTTGTTTTTTTTGGGCGGTAGGTGGCGCTTATTGTGTTTTTCGTTTGGCAGGGTAAAATGTTTACTGTTTCACGATTACAACGAGCATTTTAACAAAGTTAATACGGATTAAAACGTTTAAATCTCATTTTTATGAACAGGATTGTGCACGTATTTGGGTATGCTGTTTTTGAAAAATTCGAATTACGGGCANGAGCTTGCTCCTACTCCGCCACGGGTTGATCCGGTATTGCAGTACCACCGGAAACAGCCCAATATCCTTAAAGATTTTTCCTTTGTAAAATAATTAGTGGTCATTCGATCTCTTCGGAAAGGCTAATTGTTATTTGTATACGAATGTTATCAGAGCTAGAAACTCTGACCCCTCGTCTGAGAAGTTTGGTCTGAATGATTCTAAAATAATTAAAAATCAATATTGTATAGGTATATTGTAATAGCAAATGTAAATGCGTAAGACATTTTTAAACCCTGCAATCGACGCACCTGTTTATATTTTTCCTAAATGTCGGCCAATAAAAATTTGATTCATTTGTTTGTGTCGTATTATTATTATCAACGAATCGGCTGTTAATTTAGAAAATATTCTATGTACATGCCGTGTCAAGTACAATTAGGTACACGAGTGTGAACGGCTGGCGAGTGAGTTGAATCACCGCGGTGGTGTAGTAATTAAATTTGAAAGCGAACATTATTGTGCTATCACGAAGTGAAAAAAAATCCCGATCGGAAATATTACATGTATTATGCGTATATTCAGCATCGACGTAAATATTCTAAGGTTATAGTATATAGGTAACTTATTTTCACAAGGTTTAATTGAGATTTCTAGTTGAATCCTTGTCATAAATACCCACCAGTGGTAAACTCAGAGACATAAGCCTGAACATTTTTTCTTGATTGATTTTTGTTTTTATGTAATTTTCTTAACACAAATAATTGTTTAGGTTGTTTGGTTATTATTACTGCATCACAGTTATTTATATTGTTGGTTAACAATGCTTGAATCTAGTATAAATGATAATAAATACGTCATAATAACAATGATTTTGAGGTACTTTAGGTATCTCGAGCCGTTTGCTGGATGGTATCGCTTCTCGGCCCATCTGTCAAGATCAAATGTGGAACAATTTTACCGTATTAAAATGTTTTTCTCACAATTTATGAAATATTTCAATATAAGCAGAAAAAACTTTCCCGATTTAGAATTGAGCGAATCATCAACATTTGTTACTCGGATAAGTTTGCATAAGCTCACCAACGATATTTAAAAACGTGTGTATAGTATCTGTTCTTATCAGCTTAACATCTGATACACTTTCACGTGAAGTGCCATTTGTTAAACTAATTTTTGAAAACAGGCGGAGAATTTGGGGCTTGCTCCTATTCCGCCACGGGTCGATCCGGTATTGCAGTACTACCGGAAACAGCCCAATATCTATAAAGATTTGTCTTTTATAAAATAAATAGCGGTCATTCGATCTCTTTGGAGAGTCTATTTCCTATTTGTTAATGAATGTTATCCGAATTAGAAACTCTGACTCCTTGTCTGAGATGGTTGGTCTGAATGATTCTAAAATAATTAAGAATCAATATTGTGTAGTAGGTATATTGGGATTTGCAAATAAGCTGACGCTACCTGTTGGCGGATTTTTTAATTACTAAAAATAGAACTGATAATAAGTCGTTAAGTGCGATTATTGACAAGTGAGATTTATTTAAAAAAAATATTATTTTTCTTTTAAACTCAAATAGGTAGTCAAGTGATTAACTTATAAATTGTAATTTATATTTTGTATTAAATTAATTAAATTCATTTTAAATGAATAATCGAACAAAAAGCAATGTGTACTGCAACGTATTTGGCTGCAAAACTTTTATACCGATGACAAAATCATAAACTTCCTTTGGTTTCTAAAAGAAAATGAAAGAGTTGCACCATGGACAAACAAAAATCGAACTTTTCGAAAATATTAATAAAAGACTAGCTTGGGCAATAAATCTAAAAATGGATAAACAAACATTAAAAAAAAAGATTGAGATTTTGTTCCAAGCATTTTACTGCCGACTGTTTTTTTCCATTTATACCAGGGATATTTTCACAATATAATAATTCACTTATAGGTACATTTTCTATAGAAATGTAAAATATGTTTTTTAAGAAATGAATAACTTATAGTGAAGTAGTTTTTACTGTTACATTGCAGTGTTTAGAATCTTATCCAAATTATAAATTTCAATTTATGTTATTAAGGTGTGCAAAAAATAACCAGGAGACTAAAAAAATACCATACCAACTCAGAACTTACCAAAATCTATTGTTTACCAGCCTTCACCAAAAAAAAGATCTTAAGATGTATTAGAAATCATAATTTAATAGCTAAGCAAAATTGTGAAGTAATTAATTTTTAACTTCAATATTTATAAAGTTTAAAATACTTTTAATTAACTTGGTTTAATATGTTTAATATTTAATAGTATGTGAAGAGATTTTTCTTTTGTACAAGGAAATTTAACACATGATGATGATACAGTTCCAACACAATCTGTTGATAAAAGTGACAATCCAATAAACAAAGAGTTTCATATTCTTAGTATTATAGATGATTTTGGATAGAAACCTAAAACTAGAGATTTTGCAGTTCAAGTATCTACTACTATATTAAAAATCCATTTACAACTATTTTAGAAACAAAAACAAAATTAATTACCATGACAGGCATTCCATCTTTTAAAATTTTAGACAAAATAATTGAAATATTTTCCAATAAATATCTAGATATATGAACTCATCAGCTAAGTGACCGAGAACGGGTTATATTGATAATTTTAAAATTAATTTTTGTATTATCAGTATTTTTCAAAAATGTTAGCTTGTCTGCTTGTAGATCAATTTTTATCACTACTTTTCCTCCTCTCAGTAATACTTTTAGTAATTTAATTTATTGGTCTTCAAGTGTAGAAATTGCTGCAAACATTCCTTATTGTTTTGAGAATTTTTCTAATGTACACGTTGTATTAGACTGTACTGAAGTTCCTATTCAAAAACCTAAATGGTTATTCTGCCAAATAAAATTTTACAGTAACTACAAATCTAATTTCACATTGAAATTCTTGATTGGTGTATCTCCTGGACTTATTACTTTTGTAAGTGACCATATGGAGAGCATGCATCTGATAATGTAATATTTTAAAAAAGTAACCTCATTTCTTTATTAGATAAATCAGATGCTATTATGGTAGATTGTGGATTTAAGTTTGATAATTTATGCAATGGAAAATGAATTTTATTAACTAGACCCCCCCTTTTTGAAAGGTAAAAAGCACTTTACACACCAAGAAGCTTTAGAAACCAAGGCTATAGCCAGTGCTTGGATTCATGTTTAGTGGATTAATAAAAAAGGATAAAGACATTTAAAATTTTTCAAAATAAATTTAGCTGAGGAAATGCAAATTTAACAAAAGATATAATGATAATAGTATGTGGACTTTGTAACTTGGGTAGTAGTATATTTTCTGATGAAAAATTTAATCCTCAGTAAAATTGAAAACTGATATTAAGTGGTCGTTGACACGAAATTTGTTTTTCCGCTTTTATTAAATATAGGTAAATGTGTAATTTTTAATGAATATATATATAAACTCAATAATAATACATATTAGCTATAAACATGTTGCTTATTTAATTTATATTATTATTAATAAATATATTAAATAATAATATATTTTTATATCTTAACTATAACACACATAATTTTATTAAATAAAAACAAAACAACTATGTAACAATAATTTTTTATTATTATAGTCACAAACACGATGAATCTTTTATTCAAAATAAATTATTTTTAAACTTAACAACAGGTTTTTACAAAAGATTAGATTTATTAATTAATACATTAATAACAAAGTAGTTATTTTCTAGACTATTATAAATAACAAAATCACAATTGTTAAAATTAAACAAGCATACCTAGTTGAATTTGACAACAGTAAGCATGCTTTTTCTTGAGTAACCATTGACCTTCAATACCTTTAACAATATAATTAAGATTATTTAATAAGTCTATCAAACCCATAGAACTCCCTTTAAATGGACATTTGATTTCTAACATTTTAATAGGAATTTTATCATTATTTAGTATAACACCCTCTGGGGAATATCCTATCCAAGGAACTTTGTCAGATGAAATTAAACCTCTTAATACTACAACATATTCAGTATTTTGAATGTACAACTCTCTAGCTGTTAATTCATATTGGATACCATGTTCCACAAATTTATTACTCAATGGTAGTGACCAAAAATACTTGCTAAATTTAGTAGCCCATTCATCATCAGATCTCTAACTCTTTCCATATATGTATAATTGATAGCATCTATTACTAGTTATTCTGAATTGCCTTATGCTATGCCAAAAAAATTTGTCTTATAGACTTTTTATTCTAATAAATATAATACTGTACTTAGTAAAATTATTTTCATACAATAATCAATAATCTCATAAGTTCAAAACAAGGTATTCTTCTGCTATAGTTAGGAGCTCATGATCAATTATAAGGAATAAATTTACAACTGTTGAATTTAAATTTTCATCATTTATATCTAGAGTATATGTTCTACCTCTGGCATGCACTGCTAAAGACGATTTTTTAGCCACTTTGATGAACTCATTTCTAAAGTGAAATAAATAAATTTTAGTTTTAAATAATGATTAAGAAACGGGTACAAATAATTTGCATTCTTTATATTTCCATCGAAAAATATGTAACAATTACAATAAAATTTATAATAAGTTTAAAAGTATAAAATTTAAAAAGATTTTTGTAATAAGATGTACAATAGATAACCTACTTATATATTGATTTTTTAATAACATTATAATATATTATGATGTAATAGGTAATCACAACTTTATTAATGAACTAATATAGAATTACCTATTACAAAATAACATATGTAATTTAAATTAAATAAATATGTAGGTAAATACCCATACCTGATAAAGTTAATCTGGTTAGATACAATATTCACATTAGAACTTGGAGTCAGCCATTTCACACAACAAAGTCACCCAACACATAAGATAATAATTTATTTAAACAAAATAAATTATCTGTAATATAAGAAATGATTTGATCAAAAATTACAAACTATATACTTATAGGTAGTGGTTTGTATTGTTTCAGTGATGGTTGTTTAAGTCTGTTCCATTGGCACTTAATATCTGTGGAAGAAAGATCATTTATATTTCCAATGTAATTTTTATAAACATATTAAAATGGTTAAAAGTTGATGAAAACATAACTTAGTAATTATGATAGGTTATGTAACATTAGATATTCAAGCTCAATAAGTTTGAATTGATTTTTTTTTCACAAAAATTTCTTTAAAATTATTATTTCAATTATAAATGAATGATTATTGACCACTAGGACACGGACTTTTATGTATTTAGATATTTGTCATAGATGAAGATAATTTAATGATGCCAATAGTTTAAATAATGTACTAACTTAATAATTATTATTTCGAGCAGTTAAAAATTTTTTAATTTTTGAAACTTAGAATTTCTACGTGTCACATACTCATGAGAGTAACCAATTATCCAGTATATACCTATTCATAAATAACAACAATGCAACTGAATGTTTGCAAGATTTTGTTTAGCTAATTTAAATGAAACTTCATTAATTTTAACTTTAGACAATTTGCAGGTTACTTCGTGGAGCATTTCTGATATGTTTGATGACTGTATGACCAAGCATTTTATGATCATGTTTGGATCCTGTAAATCATAAACATACTATACGTTATAGTATATATATATATACATTTTTAAAATACATAGATAAAGTATGTAATCAAAATTATTGAGTAAAAATAAAATTAACTTACGTTTTCTAATTGTATTTTTCCGCATAATATCACTTGGTTCGAATTCAGTACTTGCTCACCCCCAAGAAAGTTTCTTGATGTTTCATTATTTTCAATCATTACATTAATAATTATAAAATCAATATCATTAATTATTTACTAATAATTATTACCATGAGCCATGAAGTATACATGTTATATAGTTTATAGACCATATTTAAAATTAGAAATCGGCGGTAAAACAGTCCTACTTTCGCGGCCGTTTTTAAAACGATTTATTTAAAATTATAGATTTATAGATTTATTTTATGTAATTTTCGTTGACAGATGAGACTGGTGATATTTTCGTCAAACAATTTTTCAGATATTTTTTTTTTATCCCAATGCAGCATTTGCAAACAATTGCGTTTTTTTTTAAATTTTTTTTTTAAACGCTTGATTAGGCAAATGCTCTAATAGTATCCCAGTAAAAATTGCGGCATTTTTTTCTTAAAGAATTTTCGCCCAGTGGTATTTTATTTGAAATATTTACTAACATTTTCGGCAGTTAACCCTCAACATTTTTTTTTTTTATTTCTGGGTTAGCTATATGACAACAGGGGAAAAACACTCCTTATATTACTCCGGTTAGAAGTTTAAAATTATTTTTCATTTACAATTATTTATCATTGCAAAAATTAAATACTAAATTAACTAACCTATATATTATACTATACCCCCAACTACTCACAACAGTGGCTTAAATTTAAAATGCTTACGTATCTCGTTTAAAAATGAAAATATCGAAACGAAACCGATACATTTGCACTTATTATCTTTAAGTTCGATTATACATCAATTCACTTTAATATTTAAATGAAAAGCACAAAGTTGGCCCTGCTGAACGTAAATTTGCTATGTCCTACGTTTGTAAGACGCGGAGACGGCACATGCGGGTATCACATTCCTCTTAACCGCTTTTGTTTTTACTCAGCAAGTGTATACACGAAGTCAATACCCGTTTAAATAATGTAAATTACAAATCTGTTTCCCTCCCCCCCACCCAATATTTCATTAAATGCAAAACGAGTATAATATCATAGTTACACTTTTCATTGCATACAATATTATACATTATCAATTAGTCATGTAGGATAGGTGTATAAAATCCTATTCGCGAATGTGTCGCGAGTGTCTGGAGTCTAGACTGGACTGGTATCGTGCATGAATAATATTATCATTTACAGTCCGCAATATACGTTAGAACAGTGTAAATAGTTATAGTTGTACTCAATACGCGTTTACTGTACAGATAACGAACGTACCTATAGCACACGTTAAATAGATCATTCTGTAGGTATGCGATATTATTATATTTTATAGCGGTTAGTGTCTGTATAAAATAATATTGTAACGACAGTGTTATTATTTATTATGACGTTTACGATAAGAAGGTATTATGGCTGGATTTTAATGAATACATTAGCACGCCGTTTATCGTATTACGGTATTGGCAATGGTGGATTAAGTAAAATATTATCATAATACGTATTAAGTATACGAATATGGCACGGAGATTATAGATTCGTCTTCGACAATGACAACAACGACGACTATATACCCACGTATACGAAACAAAGTATTCTGTGTCGAATACCTATATATATATATTTATATAGTACTTACCTTTATTATATATACACGGCATACGTATACCAGGTATACTATACCTATTGTAAAACGATTGTGATACCTATAAACGGTTTTTTTTATTTGTCATAAAAGTAATTTTGCGCGCGTATTATCGAAGTATATTATAAATGTATACATAGAGCTATATAATGTAGCCACTAATAATATTTGTATATTTTTATATGTCGAGTGTAGTTTTTACCAAGATACGTTTTTTTTTTCTCTTTCAGATAAAACTTTTTTTGTTAGCAAAAGTGGTTAGACTTTTTCATAACGAACCTTAAACGATGCACAACTCACGTCCTATAGTATGTACGGCTTTATATAAGAAACATTTTTTAAAATTCTCAATAGTTTACCCATAGATCTTATTTTCTTCATTTTTTCTCTCCCGGAAAACATTTTATAATTAGTAAAAACATACCTGATTGTTCACACCGTATCCTAATATCCTAAATTCATGTGGATTTTTCGTCCGGTGATACTTAAGTTTAGCATTTTTTCTATATTCACTACAGTTTTTCTAAAAAACGTAAAAAATCTAACAACAAACGACGATACAACAGTTTCGTTTTTCTTGATTCCTGGGTTATCTCAACTACATTGAAAACAAAACACGACTAAATACCTCATTTTACGGAGCTATTCAGGTAAACGGTTTTTGATTTCAATAATTTACCGTCGATTTCAGTATTTATACAAACTAAATCACCTAATATCCTATACAATACGGTTGGCCAACTTTATTAGACTTGTGATCAACTTCTGAGTTTTTCGACCGCTCCCCATCGGCCCCAAAAAAAGAGCTGATATGGGGGCCACTGTTGTAGATGGGTAATTGGAGAGGTGGGATACATAAAGTTATTTAATTTATACCTGTAATCAACGATAAACCGTTGATAACGCAAAAACGATTCGGAGCAACCGTCGATTATGTCATCATAGTATTTTATTCTGTCAAAACCTACGTTATTGTAAGGCACTTGGTTTTTTTTTGTACGCTATTTGAATTTTTCGTTTGACAAGTTGAAGTATTTAGAATTTAATGATCGCAATGATATTTGTTTGTATAATATGTACAGAATAAAAATTGTATAAAACTGGGATGTAACCGTAAAGTATAATATGTTAATAAAAGTCTAATTAGCAGGTAAAACAGACGCCAGGACGCAATTCGTATAGTAGCTCATCGGATTTTTCAGTTTAGGAAGTAATTCGTGTGAAGCCAATACGTTATAGTTCAATAATCGTTATTATAGTGGTGAGTATAAACTAAACATATTATAGGTAGTTTAATGATGAATTGAATTCAGCAAAACAAATAATAGCTTATGAAAAATCGTCATATTTATGTTGTAGAATAGTATATAATGTACGAAAAAAAAAAAAACAAGAGAAACTCGAAGATGTCATTTTTGTTGAAACTGGAACAATAAATTACATGCAGGACTTTTATATATAGGTGCTTATATGACATAATACTGCATGTGATTTATATATCTTAAGAATATCTAGTGCAACTGAAAAAGTAATAATATTAGTTTAGAGTTTTTTGACGAGTACCTATACATATATGTGTATATGCTGAAGAATTTATATATGTATAAAATACATAGAAATAATATTATAATGGCATTCGGAGAGATTCGAAAAAAAGAAAGAAAACTGTAATAATATTACGTCTTTTCGAAGGAGTGAACTATAGGTTTTACACAAAATACTACGAAATAATGAAAAATATAACGACAGAATAAAAAAAGTGCGATACTGTAATACGGTATATGTTACAATACCGAAAATTACTGATACACGAAATTTGTATATTATAATTTTAAGGTAAATATAATGTATTTGCTTAAAAAACGGATATAGGTACATTATTTAATGGTTAAATAGAATTTATATTTTTTTTCCATAAGGTTGTCATTATAAAATATAATATTAACGGCCAAACGATTTTAATAATAAATTGTCTTCAGAAATATTTGNAAATACATTAATAATAGAAAAAAAAGTGTGATGTCATCGTAATAATATAACATTTTATTCTGTCGATAACTACGTTATTGTTACGCACTTGTTTTTTTTGGGCGGTAGGTGGCGCTTATTGTATTTTTCGTTTGGCAGGGTAAAATGTTTATTGTTTCACGATCGCGACGAGCATTTCAACAAAGTTAATACGGATTAAAACGTTTAAATCTCATTTTTATAAACAGGATTGTGCACGTATTTGGGTATGCTGTTTTTGAAAAATTGGAATTTTCGAATTACATGAATCGATAGAAATTGTACTACATCTGTGAATGTTGCGGATTTTAGCATAAGTATCACGAGCTGTGAACCGGATGGTATCGCTTCTCGGCCTATCGGCTAAGATCAAATGTGTAGTATCTGTTCTTGGACAGACACTACTATCAGGTATAGCAGATTTGGCTTTGAGAATGTGTGCCCAGGCCGACCTCCAATAGACTAACGCAACAAAATCGTACACGCTGGGGTACGGTGTCGCCACTAGTGGAGATCAGGACCATGGACAGACACTACAAGCAAAAAAAAAAAAAAAAAAAAAAAGTTTAACTAATGTACACTAGAAAAATGAAAGAAAAAATGAAAAAAAAGGAGAGAGAAAAAAAAAATAATGTATATAAAAAAGAAAGATAGTATAAACTTTAAATTAAATTAAATCCGGCTCCTGCCGAACTCCCGTAATATGTTCAATGTATCGCTTCTCGGCCTATCGGCTAAGAACAAATAAAATCTGTTCTTATCAGCTTAACTGATTCCATCTTACACGTTTCTTTATTCCTTTTTTTTCATTTTTTCTTTCATTTTTCTAGTGTACATTAGTGTACATTACATAGCGACACCGTACCCCTGCGTGTACGATTTTGTTGCGTTAGTCTATTGGAGGTCGGCCTGGGCACACATTCTCAAAGCGAAATCTGCTATACCGTCAAGCGGATCCCTTGCTATAAGTTCTTTAATGAATCTTAGGCGTACTAGATATCAAATAGCTGCAGAGTCGGATGGGGTCTCAAGGATACCGGTGTGTCCAACACCACCGGACACAGGCGATTCCCCACGAACGTGACACCACTCCATTGCATGCGTGACACCACTCCATTGCATGCGTGACACCACTCCATTGCATGCGTGACACCACTCCATTGCATGCGTTTCTCAACCTGGCGCGTCAACTAGCTAGGGAACCTTGCACGGAACTTAACTGGAGTAGGTTTGTCGATCTGGTAGACCAGATGACAGCGGAGGCCGCTATCATCGTTAAATTACCGGTAAGGACGGAGAAAGGAGCATCAAGTAGGCGTTCTGCGATCGATCCGAACGACGCTCAAGGAATTCAGACGCTTTACAGACGTAACCGACGTCGAGCAGTCCGCGTGATCATCAGCGGCGAAGGTATGACGTGTGACATCCCTACTGAGGAAGTGGAAGCCCATTTTCGCCGTGTGTGGGCACCGTCAGAGTGCGACACATCGGCGTACATCCCGGTTGAGGGCAGGGAGCCCATGCCGTCAGGCCCGTTTTCCAACGCGGAAGTAGCAAAGAGGCTACAGAAATTCGAGAACACTGCTCCCGGGGATGACGGACTAACCTACAGTCACTGGAGGAGATTAGACCCTGGATGCAGCATCCTAACAGAAATCATTAATACCTGCTTGCGGTACAGGCGAGTTCCGGCGGTGTGGAAACGTTCGGTCACTGTTCTAATTTATAAGAAGGGTGATGTGACTGACGTTACTAATTGGAGGCCTATTTCCCTCAGCAGAACTCTGTACAAGTTATACGCTGGGTGCATTGCAGGTCGTCTCACGGATTGGCTGATCCGAAACAGGGTACTTAGTCCTTGCCAGAAGGGGTTCCTACCTGCGGACGGAGCGTTCGAACATGTCCACACGCTTAATCGGTCTCTCGAAAAGGCGAGGACCGGTCGAGCCGATAGGTGTGTGGCGTGGCTCGATATATCGAACGCGTTCGGTGCAATTCCACATATGGCCCTGGAGGCAGCCATCTCGGCGTGCGGGGCTGGAAATGGTCTGGTCGAGATCATCAGGGATCTATACGACGGGGCTTCGGCAAGCGTTAGCGTAGCTGCGGGAACTACAGCAGCCATTGATATTAGGTCGGGCATTAAACAAGGTTGCCCGCTTAGTGGCCTACTATTCATTCTGGCCATTGACCCTGTGGTAACGGCCATTCAGGGAGAAGCCGAACTCCACCGTGTCCTGGCATTTGCAGACGATTTGTGCCTCATCGAAAACTCGCCAGAGGCATTGCAACGATCGATAGACGCCACACGCACACGACTAAGATCAATTGGTCCGCAGCTGAATGCGGCCAAGTGTGCGTCGCTACATTTGTCCGGCTGTACGCCTGTTGGGGTGCGGGGGACCAGTTTCCAAGTAGATGGTGTCCTGATGAAGCTTTTGAGGGAAGGCGAGGCAGCCACATTTTTAGGAGCCCAAGTAGGCTTTAACATCGTCCCTCGAATGGCCTCCCTGGCTGAAATAACAGACATTGGTCTAAAGATAGCACGGAGTAAGCTGGCCCCGTGGCAACGGATTGACGCCCTCAAAACTTTCTTCTACCCATCTACTGTCCACATGCAACGAATGGGAACTTTTTCAAAATCCGACTGGGCCACGATAGATCGGATCCTCCGGCCAGAATTAAAAAAGACTTTCTATCTTCCGCAGGAGGCCTCCGGAGAGTTCCTCTATGGCTCGGCGAAACGTGGTGGATGCGGCATACGGCTGCTCGCGGAAGACAGTGACATTGCAGCAGTCGATAGCAGTTTCAAACTACTCACGTCACCGGACCTTCGCCTAGCATCAGACGCGGCAACCCATGCAAAAGAAACGACTGGGAGGCGTCTACGGAAAAATGCAGACTCAACTGAAGTAGGTCTTTACCTGTCAGGAGAAGAGAACGGTGTATTCCGTGAAACACGTGGATATGGTGGTGTGACCAATGTTTGGTCAAGAGCACGTAATGCATCGAAACGACTAGGCGTCTCTTGGACTGTGGATGGTGACAATACAGCCATTACCTATGACGGGGCGGTTTTACGGCGAAAACAACGTCGAGAGATAATGAGAACCATCCGTGAATCACTCCGTCTAAAAAGGTCTGAGACCCTTACTGCAAAACCGGACCAAGGCAGGGCCATGGAGTGCGTAGCAGCGGACTTGGCGTCTACACACTTTATCAAGTCAGGAGATTTCACGCGGTTCGCGGACTGGAGGTTTATCCACAGGGCGAGGCTGAACTTGGTGCCGCTGAACGGCTCCTCGTCATGGAGGACTGGTGACCGTAGGTGTCGGCGATGTGGGTACACAACAGAAAGCTTATCCCACGTCGTCGATCACTGTATGCGATACACCGCGCTCTACATGGCCAGGCACAATTCTATAGTGGCTAGGATCAAAAAAGCAGCCGGGACGCGGTTCCAGGTGATCGCCGAGAACACAACGATTGGGACACAGAAACTACGGCCGGACCTAGTGATTAAGAGAGGAAAGACGGTTCTCATTATCGATGTAACGGTCCCGTTCGATAACAGAATGGCTGCTTTTGAAGTTGCGGCCAGATCGAAAAAAGAAAAATACGAACAACTAAGAGCGGAGCTTGCTAGCGAGCATGGAGCTGCTGAGGTAGTCCCATTCATTGTCGGCGCACTGGGATCATGGGACCCTAATAATAATAAATTTATGCGCCAGTTATGCAGCCGGAAATATGGGGACCTGATGCGAAAATTGTGCGTAAGCGATACCATCAGGTCCAGCAGAAATATATACATTGAACATATTACGGGAGTTCGGCAGGAGCCGGATTTAATTTAATTTAAAGTTTATACTATCTTTCTTTTTTATATACATTATTTTTTTTTTCCTTTTTCTGTACACTTCCTGAAACATACACAAATAAAATCTGTTCTTATCAGCTTAACATCTGATACACTTCCACGTGAAGTGCCATATGTTAAACTAATTTTTGAAAACAGGCGGAGAATTTGGAGCTTGCTCCTACTCCGCCACGGGTTGATCCGGTATTGCAGTACCACCGGAAACAGCCCAATATCAATTATTACTTTCTCTATTGTGAAATTGTATTTTAAATGATTATTAAATTATTAAAAGTCACTAATGTAAAGTCAGGTACACAATATTGCAAATGTATTTACTTATGATTTACGTATAAATTTGATTTTGAAACTCATATGCGAAAAAAAATAAAAAATACCACGCACTCAATATTACTCAAAATTTTACCACGGCCAGAAAAAACAAACCTAAGTTTTCTCTCAAAATTGCAAGTTTGTGCGAATATTTTTAACTAAATTCTTATTTCTACGTATTTTGGTTTTGCTCAATTATTAGAAAAACTACAAAAGAAGAAAGTAGATGAAACGATTTTATTGTTTTAATAATTCGGAAAAAAAAAACACCTTTTCCGGATATTAATATAACCAGGTTAAACGCGAAACAAAATCGACGATCAAGTAACCACGAAGCGCCGATCGCTCGTGCACGGGAAAAAAATTGAAAATCTTCGTATGAAATATCTGCCCGTCACTGCGTATGTGGTGTACAACGGCGGCCCGCGGAACCCGTCCCGGCGTTTTGTGTTTTCCGTAGTCCTCGCCGGAGAGCGCGCTTATGAAATGTTTGCGGCGGCTCAACAGCCCGGACAGTACACGTCGCCGTAACATTTTTAATGGTTCGACGAAAAACGTTTTACAATTAATCCGGCGATCGCAAATTGGTTGTAATAAACGTGCCTGCGCGCGTATCCGCGGTGCGCCTCACAGTGCGCACGGGGCAAGTCTCGTCCGGTCTAAAATCATAATAATCCGTACGGGTTTTCGCGTAAGCACTCGCGCGCGCACACGGTACTGCGTCGCGGGCGGTTGAGCGCGTCCCCGTCCCCACGGTCCCTGCAACGACGCAACATTCATCAGACGCAATACAACACGCGCGGTGTCTAATTTATGCGTCGGTCGGCTACCGGCGCCTGACGATAATATCACTCACTAAAGGCCGGATTTGTATTGTCTTAAAACGCCCAAAATACGATGCTGATATTCACTAGAAAACCCCATTAAAATATTCTCATTATATTCTCTTAGAAGTTTGAAAAATATGCAAAAAATAATCAATGAACATAATAATGATAAGTGACGCTCGCGTATCCGAACAGAATAACGGTGCACTTGAGTAAATGTAAGAATATAATATAAACATAACAATATATAGGTAATTTAGTTTTTAAAACTAAAAAATCACGCTACACGTGATTGGAAAAGTGCAAAACAAAATATTTGGACATTTGAACAGTTGAACAAATAGTTTCATGTTATTATCAGTATGGAAACAACTGCCAGCATTGCAGGTTAGCTACCATGTTTAGTGAACGGTAACACACATTTAATCTTTTTATCAAAATGATGCAAAAAAAAAGAATTTTAAATGTTCACAATAGTGAACAAGAAAAAGCAGAAATATACGCTCGACATCTTGAACGCGTATTTCTACTAAACGCCGTAGACTCTGAGCTTGACATTGTACAATGTCCGCAGCTTAGTACAACACGTAAAAAGATTNTCGTTATGGAAAGCCACAAGACATATGAAGAGACCTCGTGTTCAGGTACCACCCATCCGCAAAGAAGATGGCACCTGGGCTCGCAGTGAACAAGAAAAAGCAGAAATATACGCTCGACATCTTGAACGCGTATTTCTACTAAACGCCATAGACTCTGAGCTTGACATTGTACAATGTCCACAGCTTAGTACAACACGTAAAAAGATTAAAAATTTCACTCCATTAGAAGTTGCTAAAGTAATAGATGACAGTTTAAACCCCAAAAAATCACCAGGCTATAATAAAATAAGTCCAAAAATACTTAAAGAGCTNATAGACTCTGAGCTTAACATTGTACAATGTCCGCAGCTTAGTACAACACGTAAAAAGATTAAAAATTTCACTACATTAGAAGTTGCTACAGTAATAGATGACAGTTCAAACCCCAAAAAAGCACCAGGCTATGATGAAATAAGTCCAAAAATACTTAAAGAGCTTCCTAAGAAGGCCATCATTCATTTTACGCACATTTACAATGCTATTTTGCGTATGGAATACATTCCAGAACAATGGAAACGGGCACAAGTCATTTTGTTGCTCAAATCAGTTAAACCACCAGAAGATGTCACATCTTACCGTCCCATATCCCTCCTTCCGAGTTTGTCTAAACTCTTAGAGAAACTTCTACTTAAACGTCTAAAACCAATTATAGAAGAAAAACATCTTATACGGACCATCAGTTTGGATTCTGTAACAAACATTCGAAAATCGATAAAGTCCATCGCATTACTAACATGATAAGTAAAGCTCTTGAAGAAAAAAACAACTGCCACATACCTGGTGTCCACTTCTTGAATCATATTTAACCGACTGTCAATTCTGAGTCATACATGAAGAAGCAGTAACCGAATGGAAAAATATATCAGCTGGAGTACCACAAGGTAGTGTCTTAGGACCTATTCTTTACCTACTTTACACAGCTGATATACCAAACAATGATAACAATGACACCATAACGACAGTTATGTTTTCCGATGATACGGCAATTTTGTCGACAAGTAAGAATCAGCTGACAGCAACTGACAACTTACAAGCATCAATTAATAACATTTTTGCCCGGACGAGACGTTGGAAAATTAAGATAAATGGCGATAAATCGGTACACGTCAACTATACGTTACGTAAAACTGAAAACATTCCAATTTTACTGAGTCAAACTTTAATCCCACAAAAAGATTCAGCAAAATATCTTGGAATGCATCTTGACTCTCGTTTAAACTGGAAACATCATGTCCGTCAGAAAAAAATACAGGTTAAAGAAAAAATACGAAAGCTCTATTGGTTAGTTGGACCTCACTCTGAGTTAACTATAGAAAACAAACGTCTACTATATGTAGCTATTATAAAACCAATTTGGACCTATGGCATTCAACTGTGGGGTTGTGCTAGTAAGTCTAACATTGATATAATACAACGTTGACAAAACATCGCTCTTCGGACTATCACTGCAACCTACCGGTTTGAAAGAAACGATGCCATTCACCGCGATATGATGCTGCCTACAATAGCAGAAGAAATCCAAAAGTTTGCTCGTAAACACGAGAGGAGATTAGAGGACCATATCAACCCAATGGCTATCGAACTGTTAGACAACTCCAAAGACATTAGACGCCTTAAACGTCTGAAACCNGTTTAAATAATAAAGCCCCAGGGCATTTAAAAAAAAAAAAAAAAAAAAAAATGTTCACAATAATTTTTTCAGGTACCGTATTATTAAAATTAATATTTTTTTCTCACAGTTTACAAAATATTCCAAAATATGCAAAATAAGCTAAATATTCTCAAATATGTAAAAAAAAAAAAAACATTTTCCTACACAGAATTGAACGAATCGTCAACAATTCTTACTCTCATAAAATTGCATAAGCTCAGTAACGATATATAAAGACATATATGCATGTGTACGGTCTTTAATTATCACCGTGTACCTTACTATATAATTCAAATTGAACGAAACGCGGTAAAAACGAACGTACCCAGTACATTACGAAACTTTCGTTTATTAGCACTCATTGTTATATTATCACTGCCGCTTCGGTTTAGAATCGATATACAGTATTACTCGTCGTTTTATCAAAACTGTGTTATTAGAGAGATTGGACCGCGTCTTTACGTAAGAACGTAAATCTTTGGTCCCGGGGAAGAACGGCGTGTTAATTTTTTTATACGAACGAATTTCATTTTGAAAATGACACAACGGCTGCCCAATATTTATGAATGGCCTAAATTAAATGGGTCGAGTCATGGGTATAATTATACGAATATTATGTATTTTTTCCTAACAAAAAGTTACAGTCCATAATATATAGTGACTTGGGATATTTTAATTTTCAATATAACGCGTGTTAGAATATAATACAATTCCGTATGTTATAATATTATTATAACATATTATACTTGTGGCGTTTTGATCGAGAAAATAAAAGTAAAAAAAGATACGGACATACTTCGCACGATAGGTGAGGGGGCAACTGTTGTATAGCTCGGGAAGATTGGATATAGTGGGGAATTTAATGTAGGTACATCTGTGCGTAACGATTAATCTTTGCTAATGAAAAACGATTCGGAGTGAAGTTTTTTTTATACATGTACGTAAATTTCGGCAAGGTTTCGGTTTTGGGTTATAGAAAAGTTATTTGACATTTTTAGGTTTCGGATTTTAATTGTATTTTTGAAATTTTTTGGTTTTTTGAACGGTATTTATAATTGTTTTTGACTGTGACAAATGAGTGACGACTATTCTACTTATTGTCTATACCTGCTGAACATAATCTGCTGAGAAATTCGTTTTTCTGCTTGGCCGAACGTTTGGATTATTTATTTATTAATTTTGTGTAACAATACAGGCCGAGGTCCAACAGAAAAACAAAGAAATATAACAAATATAACTTACTTTATACAGTACGGACTGTGATAATTATAATTATTGTTGGCACCTATAACAATAAAATAATAATAATATAAATAAAATAAAATTGTTTTTGGAAATATGAAAAAAAATTATTTCAATCACAAGTTGTGATTATTATATAAAATTTGTTGACAAATTAAAACTCATATTAATAATTTTAATGGTTTCGGTTTTCGATTGGGGTATTAAGAACGGGCGAAACCGTTGTTTTTTTTTTTTTTTGTTTTGAGCCCTGAATCTATAAAATAAGGATTTGGAGTTGATATTTTTTTACTATCTAAAACACATAACAATACGGAACACGGGAATATTTTCGCTGTATATATAGCTACAGAATATTTGTTAATAATATAAATCCGATCGATATGACCATGCGTGTCTAAGACACTGTTTATAATCTATATTGCGAATTCGGTTTAAAACTTGTATTATAATCATAATTAATATACAAGTTTTATTATTGTAAACGTCTTTTTTTTCAAACACGTGTTGCAATACATATATTACTTATATATTTACGTAATTAATGTTTTGATTTATAGAATTTTGTAAAAAATTCCGAGTTGAAATCCCACTAATTCCAAATAGTAATAATAATATTAAAACGCACCTTTATGTACTGCTTTGTGTAGTTGTGCGAAACAATGAATCGGTAATAAATGTCCACCCCACATTGTATTATTATAACGAATTTAACGTTTATTAATTAAAAGATAATAGTATGCTTTTATTCGTGAACAGGAAGAAGAAACCCCGTTCTAAGTAAATCGTATTTAATTTATAATTAACTTGAGTGCAGTGCAGATGAAAGTTCTTGGGTACGCGTAATTCGATAACGTTATCGTTTCATTATCGACAGAATGTTATATTTAGAATACCGATTTTGGAGGAATTACGTAAATTAATGTACATCGTGCGTTTAATACAATCTGGGTCGTTCTTACAATTTCCGGTTAAGTGGCGGTAAAAGTTTCGGTTAATGATTTTTTGAATATTGCATTTTCGTGCGTATCACTTTAAACTGTTAGCGCCGTCGTCGTAGTCATTAACATATAAAAACATATCGAAACAACGTCGAACGAACTTATTAAATTTCAGGTCTATTTTTTTTATGATATTAATACCTATCTAACGCTTTAACATAGAACGTTGGTCAAGAAATTATTTTCCATGGGCGCTAACAAAAAAAAAAAAAAAAAAAAAAAAACCAATACCACATATCGTTTTATTTGCATCAATTTTTTTTTTTAAATTTGACGGTACAAAATTCCTATTTTTTTTTTTAACAGTATTGTGTTATTTTCGTTTTAATGTGAACAATGTTTTGTAGTTGATTACAGCAATTTATGTTAAATATTAAACTTGGAATTTTTAAACCGATTTTTTAAAAACGAATAAATATCATATTGATTATCTAACCAAATTTTCAAATGTCGGTTTTATTTAATTGGAATTCAATTATTTAATGTACATAATATAGCCAGTGCTCATAAAAAACATGTTTAAAAATAACCGAACCGGTTAAACATGTATTATATCTTTCAAACGTTAAAAATAATATTTTTTCACCTATTTAAAAATTAATTTTAGTCCACGTTATAAGATCGTTAAATTTTTATTTTTCCCGTTATGAATTTTATTGTTATGGCCACCTAACGGAATCAGTTAGTGATTTTACATTTTTGTTGAAAATCATTATAGGTAGTTGTTACTTGTTTGTTATTAATAAATTAATATTATGCTTTAATTTGAATGAATAGTAAATGATACTTTTATTTTTTTAGAAAAACAAAAAGGCCGTTCGAGTTTTATTTAGATTTTACTTTCTATGGTACAATACTACAATCTGTGGCAAATTTGTAACCTTATAAGTGTTACTGAACCAAAAAATTGGACCATTTAAAACTGTGGCGCAACTAGGGTTTTTTTCGAAGGGGTTTACCTAATTAAATCCCCCTCCCCCCATTATCCCGTAACTTATTTTTAAATAAGATGTATTGGTGTGAATTTTAGATTGATTGAAAAAATAATTAAAATTATAATGTTTATAATTGTTGAACTTTAAGAGATTCAAGGTGGGTGTTCAGACACCCAAAATACCTTCCATGGTCGTGTCACCGATGATTTTTATCATTTCTAACCAAAAATGGTTTAAAACATTTTTAGGCGATTTAAACACGTAGTTGTTTAAAGCGTAATATCAATCCTGGTTGAATACAGATATTTTTTTGGGAGGCAGGGGTAGACGAGCATTATTGTGCAGGTATTTTATTTTTTTACGAGTTAGGTAGGTACATAAGCGTTGTGAGTACACACCTATAAATACACAACTGCGGCCTGTGTTGATCTTCTATACCTGTTTGTGTGGATTTACAGTTATACGGTTGGTAGGTATTATTATTATTATAACCGATGACGACAGTTAACATGATACTATTAAGTCATTTCGAGATTTTGGTCGATTATGATAATAGATTGTTAATTATCGCTATCATTATAATTATTATGTAGACGGCCGTCTAATACCGTTCAGATACTGACGGCTAGGTACGTATGCTAGTATTATAGCCGGCTGCTGCGGCTGTCGGTTCCGTTATCTTGGAATTGCTGTTGTTATAAATACGGTTAACCATCTCATCTCGTAGGATTGTGTAACGGTCGGAGCTGTATACTGAACTATAAAATAATATTATACCCGTAATTTACAGTAATGTGTAATGGTAATTGCAATCGTTGAGCGGTATAATATGTCATATACCTTCGTCCCGGAATTCGTCATTTTCCATTTCCCCCGAGAATGTCGATCGTATGCCTATACAATACCTGTATAGTATGTCCGTGTTCAATACAGAATAATAATGTTTTACGTTTGATTTTTTTTTAATTTTCCGACAACTACTGTACCTATGTCTTAGGGCGTGCGGCGGGATATCATATAATGACGAGATTCGTGCAAATCGCCACTATCATTTTATATATTATTGTATTATTTTTCGATTGATATCGAATTACCTATATTCGTTGGTCGAAAATGTGTAAAAGTATTAAGTCGTTAAACGACTAGGCTATTGTCAGAATGATTTTTAAAATCAGATTTCAAAAATATTTTGGAATACTTACCCGAGGTAGGGCCAATGATGACTAAGATACTTGAAAATTAGTATCTAAATACTTGATATACTGATTTTTAGTACCTATCTAGATATCTGTAACGAGTTTTTCCGTATAAGATATTTACATTTTATAGATTTGAATACTAAGATAGGTACTAGATATTCGATATTTAGATATTATAAAAATTAAATTTTTCATGTAGGTAGTATCTGAAAAGACGGAGTGGTTATTTTGTCTAAAACATATTTCGAAATTCCCAACAGTTCTCCCATTTCCATATAATCGCTTTCAGTGTTTAATGTATTTTTTTTTAGAAAAGCCAACGGAGAAGTCACTCAGTTAGCCCTTCCTTCAAGCACTTACTTGTATCGAAATGTGTGTACTGCTCAAGCCCGGCCCTGGATAAGATCGGTAGCGAATTTGAAGGGGGAAAACACATTCCTCTCCCTATTGGATTTTGTTTTTTTATTTGCTACTTGATTTATACAGGTACCTGTACCGATAAATAAACGTAATAAACGTAATGAACTGTAATAAACGTAGGGGGAAAGATGAGTAGAGGAGGACCGAGAGAGTGATGGTTGGATGCGATTGAGAATGATACGAGGACG